TCATTCCCTGCATATTTTCAGACCACAATGCTTTGAAACTAGAACTCAATCTCAAGAGGAAAGTCAGAAAGAACTCAAATACATGGAGGCTAAAGAGCATCCTACTAAAGAATGAATGGGTCAACCAGGAAATTAAAGAAGAATTTAAAAAATTCATGGAAACCAATGAAAATGAAAACACAACTGTCCAAAATCTTTGGGATACAGCAAAGGCAGTCCTCAGAGGAAAGTATATAGCAATACAAGCCTTTCTCAAGAAACAAGAAAGGTCTCAAATACACAACCTAACCCTACACCTAAAGGAGCTGGAGAAAGAACAGCAAATAAAGCCTAAACCCAGCAGGAGAAGAGAAATAATAAAGATCAGAGCAGAAATCAATGAACTAGAAACCAAAAGAACAGTAGAACAGATCAATGAAACTAGGAGCTGGTTCTTTGAAAGAATTAACAAGATTGATAAACCCCTGGCCAGACTGATCAAAAAGAAAAGAGAAATGACCCAAATCAACAAAATCATGAATGAAAGAGGAGAGATCACAACCAACACCAAAGAAATACAAACAATTATAAGAACATATTCTGAGCAACTCTATGCCAGCAAATTAGATAACCTGGAAGAAATGGGTGCATTCCTAGAGATGTATCAACTACCAAAACTGAACCAGGAAGAAATAGAAAACCTGAACAGACCTATAACCACTAAGGAAATTGAAGCAGTCATCAAAAATCTCCCAAGAAACAAAAGCCCAGGGCCAGATGGCTTCCCAGGGGAATTCTATCAGACATTTAAAGAAGAATTAATACCTATTCTCCTGAAACTGTTCCAAAAAATAGAAATGGAAGGAAAACTTCCAAATTCATTTTATGAGGCCACCATTACCTTGATCCCAAAACCAGACAAAGACCCCATCAAAAAGGAGAATTACAGACCAATATCCTTGATGAACATGGATGCAAAAATTCTCACCAAAATACTAGCCAATAGGATCCAACAGTACATTAAAAGGATTATTCACCACGACCAAGTGGGATTTATCCCTGGGCTGCAAGGCTGGTTCAACATCCGCAAATCAATCAACATGATACAATACATTAACAAAAGAAAGAACAAGAATCATATGATCCTCTCAATAGATGCAGAAAAAGCATTTGACAAAGTAGAGCATCCTTTCTTGATCAAAACTCTTCAGAGTATAGGGATAGAGGGTACATACCTCAATATCATAAAAGCCATCTATGAAAAACCTACAGCAAATATCATTCTCAATGGGGAAAAGCTGAGAGCTTTTCCCCTAAGGTCAGGAACGCGGCAGGGATGTCCACTCTCACCACTGCTATTCAACATAGTATTGGAAGTCCTAGCCACAGCAATCAGACAACAAAAAGAAATCAAAGGCATCCAAATCGGCAAAGAGGAGGTCAAACGCTCACTCTTTGCAGATGATATGATACTGTATGTGGAAAACCCAAAAGACTCCACCCCAAAACTGCTAGAACTCATACAGAAATTCAGTCAAGTAGCAGGCTATAAAATCAATGCACAGAAATCAGTGGCATTCCTATACACCAACAACAAGACAGAAGAGAGACAAATCAAGGAGTCGATCCCATTCACAATTGCACCCAAAACCATAAGATACCTAGGAATAAATTTAACCAAAGAGGCAAAGGATCTGTACTCAGAAAACTATAAAATACTCAGGAAAGAAATGGAAGAAGACACAAAGAAATGGAAAAACGTTCCATGCTCATGGATTGGAAGAACAAACATTGTGAAGATGTCAATGCTACCTAGAGCAATCTACACATTCAATGCAATCCCCATCAAAATACCATCCACTTTTTTCAAAGAAATGGAACAAATATCCTAAAATTTGTATGGAACCAGAAGAGACCCCGAATAACCAGAGGAATATTGAAAAAGAAAAGCAGAGCTGGCGGCATCACAATTCCGGACTTCCAGCTCTATTACAAAGCTGTCATCATCAAGACAGTATGGTACTGGCACAAAAACAGACACATAGATCAATGGAACAGAATCGAGAGCCCAGAAATGAACCCGCAACTCTATGGTCAACTTATCTTTGACAAAGCCGGAAAGAATGTCCAATGGAAAAAAGACAGTCTCTTCAACAAATGGTGTTGGGAAAATTGGACAGCCACATGCAGAAGCATGAAACTGGACCATTTCCTTACACCACACACAAAAATAGACTCCAAATGGTTGAAAGACCTAAACGTGAGACAGGAGTCCATCAAAATCCTAAAGGAGAACACAGGTAGCAACCTCTTCGACCTCAGCCGCAGCAACTTCTTCCTAGAAACATCACCAAAGGCACGGGAAGCCAGGGCAAAAATGAACTATTGGGATTTCATCAAGATAAAAAGCTTTTGCACAGCAAAAGAAACAGTCCACAAAACCAAAAAACAACCGACAGAATGGGAGAAAATATTTGCAAATGACATATCACATAAAGGGCTAGTATCCAAAATCTATAAAGAACTTATCAAACTCAACACCCAAAGAACAAATAATCCAATCAAGAAATGGGCAGAAAACATGAACAGACATTTTTCCAAAGAAGACATCCAAATGGCCAACAGGCACATGAAAAAGTGCTCAACATCGCTCGGCATCAGGGAAATCCAAATCAAAACCTCAATGAGATACCACCTCACACCAGTCAGAATGGCTAAAATTAACAAGTCAGGGAACGACAGATGTTGGCGGGGATGTGGAGAAAGGGGAACCCTCCTACACTGTTGGTGGGAATGCAAGCTGGTGCAACCCCTCTGGAAAACAGTATGGAGGTTCCTCAAACAGTTGAAATTAGAGCTACCATTCGATCCAGCAATTGCACTACTGGGTATTTACCCCAAAGATACAAATGTAGGGACCCGAAGGGGTACGTGCACCCCAATGTTTATAGCAGCAGTGTCCACAATAGCCAAACTGTGGAAAGAGCCAAGATGTCCATCGACAGATGAATGGATAAAGAAGAGGTGGTATATATACACAATGGAATATTATGCAGCCATCAAAAGGAATGAGATCTTGCCATTTGCAATGATGTGGACGGAACTGGAGGGTGTTATGCTGAGTGAAATAAGTCAATCAGAGAAAGACATGAATCATATGACCTCACTGATATGAGGAATTCTTAATCTCAGGAACAAACTGAGGGTTACTGGAGTGGTTGGGGGTGGGAGGGATGGGGTGGCTGGGTGATAGACATTGGGGAGGGTATGTGCTACGGTGAGCGCTGTGAATTGTGCAAGACTGTTGAATCACAGATCTGTACTTCTGAAACAAATAACGCAACATATTTTAAGAAAAAAGAAAAAGAAGAAGATAGCAGGAGAGGAAGAATGAAGGGGAGTAAGTCAGAGGGGGAGACAAACCATGAGAGATGATGGACTCTGAAAAACAAACTGAGGGTTCTAGAGGGGAGGAGGGTAGGGGGATGGGTTAGCCTGGTGATGGGTATTAAAGAGGGCACATTCTGCATGGAGCACTGGGTGTTATGAACAAACAATGAATCATTGAACACTACACCAAAACAAATGATGTAATATATGGTGATTAACATAACAATAAAAATTAAAAAAAAAAAACAGAGGCATCCACCGTAGGGATCCGCCTGGGGCAGGCGAACAGGGCCAGGAGACAGCTTTGGTTCTTCACCCTTCGGCTTCTCTTCATTTTTACCCCAAAGTCTCCTTCCACCTTTCGAGGAACGTATTCGTGTACCCTGTTTGGTACCTTAGGGGGCGGGGCCTCCAAAAACGGGCTGGGCCTCGGGTTTTCCGCTACTCCCGCTGCCTTCTGGGAATCGTAGTTTTCTGAGGGCACTGTGCGCAGGCGCTCTGTGGTCCTTTCTCCTTGTGGGGCCGCCGCGAGCAGGTTGGCACCCAAGGTGAGGAACAGGGGTCGGGTGTGGTGAAAGCGGCGGCCGAGGGAGGGAGGTGCTGAAGAAAGGACGGGGAAGGAAAGAGGGATGCGAGGCGCGGTGACGTGAGGCTGGACCCGAAATGGGGTGTTTCGAACTATCCCTGGCCGCCCCCCCTAGGCTGCCCTTGGTCCGACCTGCGGCGGGGCAGGGGAGGAGGCGCGCTGCAGGACGGGCATGACTCAGGGCGACGACGTGGCAGCGAGGTGAAGTGAGATGTCGCTGGCCTGGTCCCGGAGTGTGAGATGACGTGCTCTGGGGTGCACAGAGCCGCACTCCGCAGTGCGTATCCCCCGAGTAGAATGGCGCATTCCCTCCCTTAGCCTTCTTTTCCGAAGCTCGCCCTGCGGTCCTTCCCCTGCTTACCCGTGGCAGGGGTTCAGTACACCAGGACTGAACTGACTCCGCGGAAACCAGCTGGTCCATCTTTCCCGGAAAGCACCTCCGCTCCGTGGGCCAGGTTCAGGCGTTTCAAGCTCTTACACTTGGCTCGTTGGAGCTGCCCAGTGGCGCTCCCTCTTCTGAGCGCTGCTTTCCAATGCCAGCCAGACTTTCGTGCAAAACTTGGTATTTCAGTTAGTCTGCAAATAGTTCTTGAGTACTAACTATGTGGAAGTAGCTTTCTTAGTGTGAGGGAAGCAAGATGTGGCTCCCAAGATTTACCACCTACTTGGAAAGATACAAAGATACTTATATACTAGGTGATTGAATCAGAAATCTGAAAGTTCAAAGAAGATAAAGACCCTGACTCCTTGTTTCGTGATGTGGATCCATTTGGTTGTAGATTGGAAAAGAGTATATAGGCTTGGCTGGAAGCATCCATAGCTTATTTTAATGACACTGGTGGGCATCTTAAGATTAATATCACCTTTTGGTTCTGTGAGGCACATTGGATGCTGTATCCTCTGTGTTCCCCCAGGACTCTCTAAAGAGCTCTTAAGAGGAGAGGTCTGGTAGCAGAACATGAAGAATGAAACCTTAGGTGAGGAAGGTAGAAGCTTGCCTTTGCTACCTGTCTGAGTCTCTGCGTTGCAAATTACAGAAACCCAGCTCAAACTAGTATGGGGGGGTTCATTTTGAGGATACTTGGTTAGGTCACAGAGCTCCAAAGAAAAGACTACAGGTGTGTAAACCGGAACAAAACAAATTCAGGACCCTCTCTTAACCCCTTTCCCCTTCTTCTGTATGCCCTTATGTTTCATATTTCCCTGTCACTGCTGACTGGCTTTTTCTGCTCTCAGATGGCTTGACAAAATGTGACTGTCAAGGGCCCTCATGTGGAGCCTCATGAGAAGAGACTGATCTCTTTTTCTTGGTTCCACTTTCAGAATTCCATGGGAAGGACTAATTTGTTCAGATGCCAGTTAGCTTTGGCCAGGAAATGGAGTCAGTTTTTATTATTGTATGGATGTGGGTGAAGCTATTTCCTTGAAAAGAGTGAAGTGTTGGCAGAGCTCAAGAGACAGAACAATAGCTGCTGCTGGTTGCCTGTCACTCACCTTGAAGTAGAACTACTAAGAAAATTACTTTATGTAGAGTAGTAGGCCTGTCCTGGCCATAGTCCCTTTCTCTGAGAACTGCTCTTTGTGCTCCTTGGGAATGGCTGAGTGGGCAAGAGGTGGAAACATGATCTAAGGTCATTAGTCTCTCAATGGCTAACAACCGATAGGGCCTTGAGAATTCTAAGTAGGAAACACAGAGACCATGGCCAGTTAATTGTGGGTGTTAGATCAGTAAGCCCAGGAGGGCTGGGAGTTAAAGAACTTATTGAACCTTATCTATACAGAAGACAATGTTCTGAGAACATTCCTCTGAGAACATTCTCTTAGGGGATGAAAAGATGCAAGACCCATTTAGCCCTTGCTGGCTTGAGAGAGTACCTTTTGTTTCAGCACCATTCTCATTTGTGGTCGCCTCTATGCACATGTCAGATGGCCTGCATACACAGAAATTATAAATATAATCTTGCTATTGGCCATTCTAAATATCCAAGATGGCATATACAGGTTCTCTATGTAGAGCTCTTAAGAGCAAGAGGTAAAGATATGCAGCGCCGTCATCCTTCAATATCCAGTGGGGTACGCAAGTCTATTAATGAAAAAAATAAAATCTGATTGGTAGTGGATCACAACCATAATTGGAATCCAGAAGATGGTGCCAAGTAGGATTTATCGCACTGGATCATATGGATTGTATTATATGGAATCAGCCTCCGATGAGCACTGATGGATCCCTTTACCCGTTCTTTTCTACTCTTCAGTCCTCCCTACTAGTACTGACTCCATCTTGCAACAACTTTTGTCATAAATCCCTGACAGAATATTGTTATAGTATTCTCTGTGGGCAAGCTTGGGGAGACCATTGTTCCTTGGCTCCACTTCTGGAAGGGTTTTTCACTTTCCCTGACTAAAACTTCTGTCAGATGAATGAATTTTTCTCTTGAGAATATTGTTTTCTCTCAAGTCTTCCAGGTACTGTTATGTCACAGGTTTTCTCCATATCAGGCCCAAAGATGAGTAGGATTAGAAAGAAGAGGACAGAGATTCTTCATCCTGTTCCAGATGTATAGTTATTCTGTGTAGTCTGCCTTCGTTTTTTGATATTTGACTGCTGACAGCTCTTAAGACTCACCCCTCCTTCCCCTGGTGTCCCACACCTGAACAAGCTGATAAGGAAGCCTGAATGCTCTCTCCCTGGGCATTGGCAAGAGGTTCACATCACACAACTCCCTTCCTGTGGGCATGGGAACACTCACCCTGGCCCTAACCACAATAAAAACCCAGGCCAGTCTCCTTTCCTCACTTTCTCAAGCCATTTTGGGCCTGCTTGAGAGACCTACCCTGGTCTCTCCCAGAGACCTCAGTTACGTAAGTAATAAACATTTTCATACACTTGGTCTGTGTTTATGTGGCATCATCATTCTCAATATTGGAACCAAACTTTGGGTGGGGCCTATCTGCCTCTGCAGGTGACCATTACACTCTGGATACTCTAGCTCTCTAGCTAATCCTTTATTTCCCATGGTCTTCTGTGATGCCAGCCAATGCTGCAAGGGCAGTGGTCAGTCAGTCCATCCTGGTTGGTCCTGCTGCCCTGTTTCTCCTGCAGGAGAAGCAATTGTATTCAGTCCTGAACTCACCATTGACTATCTGGGTGTCATTTTGCATATAGCCTCCTAGTTCTATGGAAACTTTAAAAATGACTAACAGAGGTGCTTGGCTGCCTCAGTTGAAGGAGTGTGCAACTCTTGATCTCAGGGTTGTGAGTTCAAGCCCCATGTTGTATGTGGAAATAATAAACTAAAAAATAAATAAATAAACTTAAAAAAATGACTCTACCAAAAAAAAAAAAAATGACCCTAAAGAAACTGGCTGGAAATTCTAGAATTTGGTGTCTGACTCCGTTTCTTGGTTGGATGAGACCCGGTCACTTTCTTGAAACTTTGGCAATCAGGAAGGAATTAGGACAGGAGGCCAGTGCTCTTCAGATCCCGGTAAGGGCCACAGATGTCATGAGGCCTAGATGCTGTTTAATTACAGTATTCTTATAATGCCCACTGTACCCTAAAAACAACACCTTAGTTGGCTTGAATGTATTTCTGGTCCTTAGAATGAAACAAAACTTGACTAATACACTAATAAACTAATTTGCTTTTACTTTTTAATTCTTGATCATATAGGCTTCACACTAGCTTTATTTTTTGTTTTTTTAAGATTTTATTTATTTATTTGACAGAGAGAGAGAGCCCAAGTAGAGGGAGCAGCAAGCAGAGGGGTGGGAGAAGCAGGCTTCTCACTGAGGAGGGAAGCCTGATATGGGGCTTGATCCCAGGACCCTGGGATCATGACCTGAGCTGAAGGCAGACGCTTAACTGACAGAGCCACCCAGGCTCCCCATTCACGTTAGCTTTTAAAAAAAATGTTAGTATAAGCATCCTCCTGGTCATCTTGAACTTAAAAGTCAAATTGGGTTATTTATTAAATTGCTTATTTATGTCAAAATACTACAGAGTACAATGCTTATTATAGATTTATGAAATGGGGTAAAAACTAACTTCATTGTAAACTGTTTGATTTTTTAATAGTTTTCTGGTGTGGGTTCTGTTCCCAGGAAGCTGCTAACTCAGGAACAGAGTTATGGCAATATCCATAATTTCCATCTCCTGGGAAACGAATTTACTTCTAGGCTTGCTTTGCTCTTCATAGAGTATTGAGAATAAGGGCTGTTTCATACCTAATTGATATGTAGAGATTTTTAGTCTGGGTCAGAGAACTACAAAATGTAATTGGTCTCTGTCATGTTTCCTCTAGCTCTGCCAACTCTGGCATGGGCCTTTTCCAAGAGAACATAGAGGAGGAGAGAATGGCAGCCAGATGGCAGGTGAGTTGGATTTTCTTCAGTCCGGAGCTTCTTTGCAAGCCTTGGAGATTCATCCCATTATGGTAAAAGTTGGGCTCTGTAGAGAAGACGAGTACGTTTGCTGGCTTCAGATTCTCTTCTTTCTCACCATACAACGCAGCTGTAGGGATCTTCCTTCTGAATGGCCCTTCATAATGCCTTGGTGACCGGCCCCATCATGTCTTTTGTAATGCTTGGGGACCAGAGGATTGAGGCAGCTCTGCCATTAGCAGTGAGCTCAGGGAGTGCTTAGAGAACTCTCATGAGAATATAAAAATTCTGAATTTTCTAGTCTGGAATGTTATATTCCTTTCAAAGGGACACCATATTTTTTTATCTTTTTTCTCCAGTTTTAGTTCTTAAAAGTATCTTCTGTTCCTCGTACACTTATCATGGATCTTCCCTTGACTTGAGAATCAGTTGTTCAGGCTGAGATCTTCTTGGATCCCTGAGTGTTAGAGCTGAAAGGGAATTTAAAGATCATCTAATCTAAAAAAAAATAAAGATCATCTAATCTAATTCTTTAATAATTTTATCGTTTAAAAAATTGAGGCTAGGGGTGCCTGGGTGGCTCAGTTGGTTAAGCGTCTGCCTTTGGCTCAGGTCATAATCCCAGGGTCCTGGGATCGAGCCCTGCATCAGGCTCCTTGCTCAGCAGAGAGCCTGCTTCTCCCTCTCCCTCTGCCTGCCTCTCTGCCTACTTGTGCTTTCTATCTCTCTGTCAAATAACTAAATAAAATCTTTAAAAAAAAACTGAGGCTAATAACAGTGTCCCTGAAGTTTGGAGGCTCTGCCATGGATATGACATGAGGCCATCAGCAAGAGTTTCATGCCTCAGGTCACAGACCTGTACCTCTTTTTTTTTTTTTAAGATTTTATTTATTTATTTGAGAGAGAGAGAAATTGAGCATGAGCAAGGGGGAGGGCAGAAAGAGAGGGAGAAGCAGGCTCCCCACTGAGCAGGGAGCCCAACGCAGGGCTCAATCCTGAGCCAAAGGCAGACGCTTAACCAACTGAGCCACCCATGTACCCCATTTTTTTAAGTAGTCTCTATGTCCAGTGTGGAGCCCAACACAGGGCTTGAACTCACGACCCTGAGATCAAGACCTGAGCTGAGATCAAGAGTCAGACACTTAACTGACTGAGCCACCCAGGTGCCCCTCAGACCTGCACCTCTTATGCAAAATATCCAGTGCTCTTACATCATTAAAATCATTTCTTTTTTGTTCCATATATCCTCCGGTGCTGTATTCTTTTCTCTTACTTAGTGAGACATAAAAGAAGACACATAGGTGAGTAAGAACATGTTTGTCTTTTCAGAAGTCACTCAAGTTTAAGGATGTGGCTGTGAAGTTCTCAAAGGATGAGTGGAAGCAACTGGTTCCTACTCAGAGGGATCTTTACAGGGAGGTGATGCTGGAGAACTATCAGGGTTTTGTTTCTCTGGGTAAGCATGACTTTCCTTGGTGACTCAGAATCTGCCATTGGGTGTGTGTGTAAAGAAGATGGCCCTTCTTTTCTTACTGGGGCAGAATTGTCCATCTTTGGATAGATCCCCAGGAAGGGTGTAAGTGGTTTATTTTTTGTTGTTTGTGTTTAACTAATAGCTGTCAGTACTGTCAGTAAATGGCCTTTTTGATCTGGATAGAATCTGTAGGATAAGTGAAGTTTGGTCTGAGACCCTAGCTTTAAGCAAAAAATTATATTATATAAAATGGAAAATGGGTACCCCCTTTCCTGGGAATTTTCAATAAGGGGGGAAATCAGATAAATGTTTATCTCTGTTTTGCCTAAAATTGTAAAACAATGGAAACAACGCAGGCACTTGGGAATAGGGATTTAGGTAAATGAATCATTGTACATCCATAATGGAGTACATTGTACACCCACGTGGGCCTTGACCATGAATGATATTTATAGAGTTGGAAAGATATTAATGATATCCTGTTAAATGATAAAAGCAGTATATGAAATGACTGGAACCTGAGTACATTTACAACATATATCTATATGCATAGAAAAAGTCTGGAAGAATCTACACCAAAATTTTACCCCTAATTATCTTTGACTAGTAGGCTTACAGGTAACTTTTTCTTTTTTTTTTTTTTATATTTCTTAATTGTCTACAATGAACATGAAATATTTTTTTCATTAAAAAAAATTTTTTTTGAGAGAGAGTGTGTGTCTGTGCACGAGCCGGAGCGGGGGGGTGCGCCTCAGAGGGAGAGGGAGAGAGAGAATCCCAAGCAGGCTCCATGCTCAGCACAGAGCCTGACATAGGGCTCGATCTTACGACCCTGAGATCATGACCTGAGCTGAAATCAAGAGTTGGACACCCAACTGACTGAGCCACCCAGGCACCCTGAACATGAAATATTTTTAAAACTACAAAGATGAGGAAACATTTTTAAATGCATTGTGATTAACACCAAAGTTAGTATAGTGGTTGCCTCATGGTGGGGAGGAAGAGGGGTTGAGGGAGGGGCTTCAATCTTAGTATTAATGTTTATTAAGTTAGATGGGTTCATAGGTGTTTGTTTTAGTCTTTATGCCTTTTGTATGCTTAAACATTTAATAATGCAATTAAAAACTAAATGTAGAAAATTTATGTCACTAAATAAATTTATATATATATGACATTTATAAATGTCACTACTTTAAATCATTAAAAACCAAAGACATTATAATTTTTCTTTTTAAGGATTTCTAAAAAATTGTTTATTAATGTTTTCAGTTTTAAGTGTTTCATATTAACTGCACATAAGTTGAATATTTCTTAAACTGCTCTAGTTTGAGTTGTAGTTGCACCAAATTCAGTATAATTGCACAGAAGTATAATTAAGGGATATAAATCTATTATTTAAAAAACTACAAAAGAAAATGGGATAGCTTCTTCACCTTAGCTCCTTGAGGTGCAGAACCTTCTCCATATTCCACTTCTCTAAGCTAAGAATTTCCCCTCAACTCACAAGAATACTTGTTCCATCTGGGGGAGGTTCCTAGATTAGAGAAAAATTAGTGAACTACTTCAATAGATCTAATTCAGACTTTCTAGAAAGTCAGTACTGACTTCCCTTCAGAGAAGGAGAATTAGCATCTTATCTTAGAAATTAGCATATGCTTTTGGGATACTTCCATTTTCCTCTCTAGAGAGTAAGGGGATCTTATTAAACCCTGGGATAGTTGTGAATTTCTATCCCAAACAGCCATTTCTCATTTTGTCCTTTGTGAGCAGGACTTCTAGTTCCTAAACCTGATGTGATTTTCCAGTTGAAGAGAGGTGAAGAGCCATGGAAACTTGATTTTCAGGAAGGTGAAGAAAGTGATGTCCCAGGAAGCACTTTTCTAGGTATGTGTGAACTGGGTAGATGGGATTTCGCTGGACAGTTCACTTAGAGACCACTCCTTGTGCTAGTCATAGGTCTATGGAGAGGGTCACTTCTATACTGGGTCTTTGTCTGGAAAATTTATGCCCAGGTAGCCACGTGGCTTTCTTGTCACCTTTTTTAGGTTTTTGCTCAAATGAGCTGCCTTCTCAGTCAGGCCTGCCCTGACGACCCTATCTGTAATTGAACTCTCTCCATCTCTTTCCTCCTTCCCTGCACTACCTTAGCTCTCTTCTCAGGTGTGTCTTCCTAACATACTATATTTTTACTTCTTTATTTTGTTTCGTGTTTGTCCATACCTACCCTGATGAAAATGTAAACTCCGTCAGAGGTTTTATGTTGTTCACTACTGGATCCCCAGTGTTTAGAACAGTACCTGGTATAGGACGCCTGGGTGGCTCAGTTGGTTAAGCGACTGCCTTCGGCTCAGGTCATGATCCTGGAGTCCCAGGATCGAGTCCCACATCGGGCTCCCCGCTCAGTGGGGAGTCTGCTTCTCCCTCTGACCCTCTTCCCTCTCGTGCTCTCTGTCTCTTATTCTCTCTCTCTCAAATAAATAAATAAAATCTTAAAAAAAAAAAAAGGAACAGTACCTGGTATATAGCACACACTCAGGTATTTGTCAGATGAACAAACAGGTATCAAAGTCCCACCTGTTGGGGGTTTTGGGGGAGGAGGCTGAGGGAGGGTTGAGACCTATTTGTATTTAACTCTGATAATACTTTTTTATCTTTCCTACTTACCTTTTACCACATCTCTTCCTCTTCCTTTAAAAACCATTGTCATTGACAGTTCACTTTCTCAGGTCCTAGCTGGTCTTCCCACTTATTCTCTGCTGTTTAAACTCACTGACATGTAATAAACTGCCCAGTCATTTCCATGCTTCTTTGTATATCCCCTGTTTTTCTGCATGTACGCCTCCCTGAAATGTTCTTCTTTTGGTTGTTCACATGGTTAACATATCTTCCAGATGACCATTCTTAAGTTTTCCTTCTAAAGAAAACCCCACTCCAACTTCCATTCATTATTTCCTTCACTGGACTTACCATATCTGTTACATTTTATTTGTTTACTCTTTGTCTTCTGTCATGTAGAATATAAGCATCATGAGGACAGGGACCATGTCTCTCTTATTCAATAGAGTCCCAGTGACTTCTACTGTACCTAGCACTTTGTAGGCACCTAGTGAATATCTAATGAATGAACAACAGAAGCTTGTTTGGTGGGCTAATTGCGCACCTTCTACTTCTCTTCTCTGTTCTTCTCTTCTCCTCTGCCATTTTTCAGCCTCTTTGTGATGTTTTTCTTTTGAGGAGTTATCAATAAACCAGGCAGTATTTTGTATTCATTTTTTTCTTTTTTTTTTAAGACTTTATTTATTTATTTGAGAGAGAAAGAGCATGAGTGAGAGAGCACAAGCCAGGGGGAGAGGCAGAGGGAGAGGGAGAAGCAGACTTCCCACTGAGCAGGGAGCCTGACGTGGGGCTCAATCCCAGGACCCTGGGATCATGACCTGAGCCAAAGGCAGACACTTAAATGACTGAGCCACCCAGGCGCCCCTGTTCATTCTTTTCTTAACATAGATAATGTTCTTTTTTTCACTAATATTAAGACCCAGTTATATCTGTAATTTCTATTTGTTTTAGACCAGAATGCTAGACTTGAGAGCCAGGATTCAACTCAAAGGCAGGATGTTTCTAAAAAAGCAAAGTCACAAAAGACATTAATGGAAACACTCAGAAAAGATGGCCCTCTGGGTCCTGTACTTGGCCCAGAAAACCTTGAGGGCACCAAGAAAGAACATCTTTCAGGGGAGACTTTGAAGAAATCCTCCCCCAAGGAAGACTCGCAAAGATCCACTCCTGCCAAGAAAACCAACAGTAAGGGGAGAAACCTTGAATGCAGCATATGTGGGAAGACCTTATATAACCACTTATCCCTCACTCGTCATCAAAGGACCCACACTGGAGAGAAACCCTATAACTGTCAAGAGTGCAGGAAAGCCTTCAGCTATAGAAGTAGCCTTAAGAAACACCTGATATCTCACACTGGGAAGAGCCCTTTTGAATGCAATGAATGTGGGAAAACTTTCTATGACCGATTAACCCTTACCGAACATCAGCGAACTCATACAGGAGAGAAGCCCTTTAAATGTCACGAATGTGGCAAGGCTTTCTTTGTCCGCTCATCTTTTACCCGCCATCAGAGAATTCATACTGGAGAAAGTCTTTATGAGTGTACAGAATGTGGGAAATCCTTTAGCCAGGAAAGCATCCTCGCTCGCCACAAGCTCACTCACACTGGAGAGCGGCCTTATGAATGCAGGGGGTGTGGCAAAGCCCTGTTTGACCGCTCCTCCCTCATTCGCCACCGCAGAGCACACACCAGAGAGACCTGTTTTGAATGTAATGAGTGTGGGAAAGTTTTCTTTGACCGCTCATCCCTTAATCAGCATCAGAAAATTCATAGTGGAGACAAGCCCTATAAATGCACTGAATGTGGGAAAGCCTTCCTCCAGAAGAGAACGCTTACTCAGCATCAGAGAGTGCACACTGGAGAGAAGCCCTACGAATGCAGCGTGTGTGGGAAGGTGTTCAGTTGCAAGTCCTCTATCATCCAACATCAGCGACGTTATGCCAGGCGGGCTTCAGACTATCACAGAGGTGCTTCAGCCCAGCAAGGGACCCCCACAGGAACTTAAGCCACTTTTGTGCAAGATAATGAAGGTTTGTGTTCGAGCACCTTCTAACTGCTGCTTATTCTCATGCCTCCATTTGATACTAGAGTCTCAGTAAATAGTCTTAATGGACCATGCCGTAGACTTCCCCTTGGATGCCTCATACTTAATATGATACTCTGAGGATCCCCAGATTGGTCAGAAGCTCTCCAATCAATATGTTTTGTAAGTGTTTGAAGGGGACCCTAAGATAAGCATCATATGTTATTTATTTATTTATTTAGTTAGTTATTTAGTTATAATTGTTTTTTTTATTTCTGGACCACTCTGTAAGAATGGGAACTATTTCATATCTGTGCATTGCTGTGTCCCCAGTGTGGTGCCTGCCACTTATTACATATTTTCTCAATGAATGAATACCTGTCTAGTCATGAGAACTTGAGTCCCCAGTCAAAAGTACTTTCTAGAACTAGAAACTTCAATAAGAAAATTAACATGAAGGTAATATGTATGTAGGACTGTAAATACCTTCACTATAACTGTCCTATTAGCTCTTAATCTACTCTTCTTGGAGGTTTCTGGAGCCCTGGTTTGGGTATGCCCTTGTTCTTCCCTCAGGATCCTTAGTTTCCCTGAACTTTGGCTCTAACCTGACCTTTGGGCTCTAGTAGACTAACCTATCACCCTTGTTTCTAGGTTAATGGTTGTGTTTTTGTTTTATGTTTGTTTAATCTCATTGATAACTAAAATTCCTTAGCCTGGTTTTGCCATTCCATCCATACCCTGGACACAACACCTTCCCTTTCTCATAATGTATTCGCGTATAATTGCTGAAGGGAAAAATATTCACACCAAATGTTCAAAGTCCAGTTGCAAGCCAGCTGTAGCCATGGCAGATGGGTGGGGTTCCAGGCTGAATAAGTCAGCTACAATGAACCAGGAGATGGTGCTGTCTAGTCTCAATATCACAAAGCCAAAGTTAACTCCAGGCATAGCTCATCCATGAGTAGTCATCCTTCAGTACTAAAGCAGCAGACATGAGAATGTAACTGAGACCCAGGCCACCACATCCTATTAGACATGATGTCCTTCTTGCCAGAACATCAGTATCTGTGAAACCAAAATGCAGACTGTCCTATCCACACCTACATAGTGGAGACGTAGATTGGCTTCCTCACACCTTCACCTTGAGAATTCCTCCTTAGTAATAAAGCAGTAATTCCAGGGAGCAGCTGAGAGAACACAAGCACTTAGATGAGGAGGAGGACAGGTTCCTCACATCTAGATGTTTGGTTTTTTTTAAAAAAGCACAGTTGTTTCAGTTTCTTATACCATATTGGTATTATAATGGATGAAGGGTAGAGAATTAGCATGGCACTCTCTTCTTTCACCTTGTTAATGGACAGGAATCTGGAACCTTGGGCAGGACAAATGGAGTTATAGTGAAGCCCAGTAGCAGAGACCACAAAAAATCAGTCCCCATGATGATCAAAGATCTGTCCCCTTGTATGATGCCCAACCTATAAAATATGCCATAGGTATCAGGTAAAAATGTGGATTCCTTTCCATCACACATATGAACATATGATTCCCACATTCTGTACACTCGTAACATATGTGAACATATGTCTAAAACCTGTGCAAATTATGCAGAAGAAGCAATTGACCAAATATCCCAGGATCAGTAGTTCAACTTACTGAGCCATCTTACAGAACCTCATGATTAAGTAACTTGCAAAAGCCAAAGTGTTGATAATAAGCATTGATTAATGCTTACTGTGGCAGAAGCTGTTAGTTGCCTAACTTGTAGTCATACTTCTTTTCTTTCTTAACAATAGGAAATCCAAGTCTCTTCTGAGCAACAGAGTGCTCAACTATATTGCTCAGCCTCTCCTGTAGTGAGGTATATCTAGTCAGGCCAATGAAATACGGATATATCAAATGTCAAGCCAAGTATATTGATATATCACATACCAGACAAATGATATGTTGATATCATTGGAATTTGTTGGATAAGACTTCTGGAAAGGCACCTTAAAAGGGAGGGATATCTAAGAAACCTCCTTTTGCCTTTGCCTTTCCCTTCTTCTCTACCTGGAATGTGGATTTAGTGGCTGGAATTCCAGCAGCCATCTTGTGACTTTGAGGATCTAAGTCATGCCTGAAGGATGGGAAAGGAGAAAAACAGAAGACATCTGATTCTTTGATGATTTTATGGAGATTCCATACCAGCTCTGGACTGCCTACTTCTGATCTTGCATGAGAGAGAATAAACCCTTATGTATTTAACCACTATATTCACAGCCAAAGGAAATTTCTTAAGTTGATGGGCAAAGAGAAACAGAAGGAATTTATCTGATCAGATTCCTCCTGTTTCCCTCATACTTTCAGGTTGCTTCATCCAGCCACCCCTAGGGAGGCCAGATCCCACAGCCCACTGTGTGGCACTTCAGCAAGCCTGGAAGTGGTGCAAGGAACCAGAAACTTGAGCTGTGCAGTTGTTTGGCCTGTGGCAAGCAAGGGGGAGAGACTGACACTCCCAAGCAGATAACTGCCCAGCTGAAGCTGGTGCAATCAAATGTCTGAGTGGGTTCATTGGCTCAGGCAGCTGAGGTAGAGCAAAGTGCTGAGGGTATGTGCACAGGCCCAAAAGTAACATGTAACTTGACTAGGCACATACTCATGCCTGATTTATTGCCTTTGCTATTTTTTTCCCGCCAAGTTTGATTACCTGTCTCAAGTCTGCCTTCTTCTCTCCCTACCTGAGACCTGTAGCACCTCTCTTCTGTTGAATCTCATGTCCCTGAGACCTCCACCTGTTTGCCACACAAATCCACCTTTACATTTTCAGTTTTGCCCTCTTCCGTGGTGACTAAAGGATTCCTTGTTTGTCACTCTGCATATCAATTTTCATCTCAAAGTAAATGGCCTTTCAAGGCACTGTAGCTTCAAAGGAATGCAAAGATGCTTTCCTAGTGAGATGTTGTGGCAAACACAAAGACAGACTAGAAGGAAACAGAAGCACTCACTGAATTTAGGAAAACCCTTAAGAGACTATATCTTAAAGTGTTCCAACTCCACTCTACTGTGGAACACCAATTTATGTGCTTGGGCCAGCTGGTAGTGTCCAGGGCTACGTGATTAAAGTAGGGCCTCTGTAAATAAAAGTAGGGTTACGAAGGAAGTCCAGGTTTTCCAAAAGCACGCAAATGAAAGCCAAGAAAAACAATGAGGGCAATGTTAGTTTCAGGCATTTACACCTTCTCTACAAGCACAGAAAAGAGTATACTCAGTTATTGATCATCTAAGTAGCAGTAAATACTCCGGGATACTCCTCCCATGGAGCTTAATCTGTGGTGTATGTGTGTTGGGAGATACCCAATAAACAAAATTAATTACGTTAGAAAGAGATAAGTACTATGGAAAAAAATGAAGTGGTCAGCGAAGTCTTCACAAGGAGAACAAAGGCTTGGAGGAGGTGAGAGAGCAAGCCATGTGGATACTTGGGGGATATCCACCCATCACGTCTATCCAGGCAGAGGAAGAAGCGCTCCGTAATGGAAGCATGCCTCACTCAATTGAATGATAGGTCAGTGTGGCTGCAGCAGAACAAATGAGGGGAAAGTGGTAGAAGATGAGATCAGAGAGTTAGTGTGTGTGGATTTTGCAGGGCTTTGTGGGCCACTGTAAGGACTTTGGCTTTGTTTTGAGATTGGAGAGCAATTGTGTTAAGAATAGTATGTATAGGGCAAGAGTAGGAGTGAGACCAGTCAGCAGGCATTTGCAGTGATCCAGGCAACAGTTGATGGGTGCTTCGACCGGGGTGGCAGCGGTGGAGATGGCGAGACGTGGTCAGATTCTACGTGTATTTTGAAAGTACAGCCAACAGGATTTGCAGAGGAACTGGATGTGGGTTGTGAGATAAAGAGAATGATGACCCCAAGGTGTTTGGACTGAGCAACTGGAAGGATGAGTTGCCATTTACTGAAGTAGGGAAAACTGTAGGAGGAAGAGTTATGGCATTGGGGGAGGAAGGGCATCAAAAGTTCAGTTTTGAACATCCTATATTAGAGATATTTATTAAACATCCAAGTAAAGAGATTGAGGAGACAACTCAAGGTCAGAGGAGAAGCCCATGTTAGAGATACGAATTGGGAATTGATCACATTTGGATGGTATTTAGAACATCTAGACTGAACAAGATTACTAAGAAGTAAGTGTTCACAGAAAAAGAAGAGCAGCCCAAGGATTGGTCTCTGGGACAGTCCAACATTTAGTTGGTCCCCAAATGAGCAGCTTCAGCAGCCCTTGGGAACTTGTTAGGAAAGCAAAATCTCAGGCCACACCCCAGAATCCTAAATAAGGTTAGAGTTCAGCACTGTGTTTTAACAAGTCTTCCAGGTGATTCTGATCATGGTATAGTTTGAGAATCACTGGTTTCAAGGCTGGGGAGAAGGAAGAGGAGTCTATTTAGAAACTGAGAAGGAGTCACCAGTCAAGGAGGAAAACCAGAGTTTTTCCAGGAGGAAGGAGTAGTCAGTTTTATCAACCGCTGGTGATCGATGAAGTGAGAGGAAGACTGAGAATTGACCATTGATTTGGTAACAAAAGAAGGGGGATTTCTGTGATGGGGTTGGTTAACAAAAGGAAGGTATACCCTGGTGTTCCAGACAAGTGGTGCCTTTCATATACAACGGTTTTTCAAAAAAACTGTCCATTCCATAGCTCTTGCTATGGAGGGGGTTGGTTGGGGGGAGGCTCCTTTCAGCTGTTCTTTGAGCTGGTAGGGCTGTATTGTCTACCACATGCCCTCTCTCCTCTCAGCCCTAGCTGATTGGACCAAAAGCAGCCAACCTTACAAATCAGTTAGAAGATAAGTGTAACTATCTGTACAACAAACCTAGTGTAATAGT